AAAAACAAGGTTATTAATAACTCTGGCAATTTTTTTAATATCCAGAAAATGAAAATTAATCATAATATACTACATGATTATCCATCCATGAAGTGTTTACATATTCATAATAAGGTAAACCGTGAGTATTCAGTCAAATGAAAATTCCTATATAAGTATTTTGGGAGGATGGAAGCATGTGGAAATTCAGTTATGAGGTAGAACAGGAAATGGTAATAGCGATGGTGTATATGAAAGAGGTAAATCCCCATTTTCCACAGTGGGAACCTATATGTAAAACTTAAAATGAAGAAATCAAAAAGTACTAATACAAGCATATTACTTGGAGATAAGCAATTAATACTACTATAATTAATTTAACTTGTTGAAATTGGCTGTACCTGGAAAATATAAGAAATGTCAGCAGAAGGTGGATAAGGTTTGGGTCACTGCAGCTTTTCATAACAAAATAACTCTATTTGATTCTATAAACTATGTGCGTTTTTTATAAAACTTAGAAAACATTTAACCACAAATGGGTAGACAGAAGGTAAGAAAGTTGAAACATTTAATATATTTTGGGGGGCCTTATAAGGAAATAAAGAAGAGAAACAGGTTGTAGCTTAAGATAAGGTAAGGGTTCAAGCAGTTAAAGATGTGAATTTAAATGCCTTACACTTTTGTTCAGCAAGTAAGTTATGGATCACAACAAAATGGGTAGGTAGAACAGGCTTCAGTACAAAGGAGTCTACTAATGAAGCTGGGAAAATAGAAATAACCATGATGCAAGATGTGTTGAGAGCAGCTCAAAGTGACTATTTGCCTCTTCAGAAATATGATACAGTAGAATGAGGAAAATAGTCAGTTTCTGGAATCCACTAAGTTTCTTAAACCTCTCCAACTCAAAGATTCTCTAAGCCTCATCAAGAAATATAAACAAAATTCCAAAGCACGTAGACAAAAAATTGGGGGAAGGGTAATAGGTACTTACAAAAAAGCTTGTTGATGGTGACTAGTACACAGTGTTTTTAAAAAAATTTAATATCACCACTGTTAACCTTTTGCTTTTTATCTTCCAGCTTCAGTCCTATTTATATAATTTACATAGTAGTTAGATCATACTGTGTATCTAGTTTGTATCTTACATTTCATTTTATATTACATAATGAGCATTTTCTGAGTCCATTACCAGGTTTCTTAAATATTGGTTTTATATCTACATAATATTCTATCTTGTGGATAATCATTTATATGACCAGTAACCAATTACTAAACTTTTATGATATTCCCAATTTTTTTTTTGAAACAGCATCTCACCCTGTCACCTAGGCTGGAGTGCAACGGCACAATCTCGGCTCACTGCAACCTCCATCTTGTTCTGCATTTCTACACTTGGATCTTAGGCAAAAGGCCAAGAAGCAATGTTTTTCCACATTTCTGATTTTCGTAGAAGAAATTTCCAGAAATAAAGTTCTAGTTTAAAGTTCTTGCTATATTTTGCCAAACTGCTTTGTACAGAAGTTATAACAAAGTTTTCTTAATTTTTGGACCGCTTTGTAACCAAAGTTAAAGGTATGCTAGATTTCCTTCCAATCAAGTAGACTTGACCCTTGAACAACACAGGTTCCAACTGGATGGGTCCACTTATATGCGTATTTTCTTCTGCCTCTGCCACCCTAGAGAGAGCAGGACAAACTTCCTCCTCAGCCCATTCAGCATGAAGACAACAAAAATGAAGATCTTTATGATGATCTACTTCTATATAATGAATAGTAAATATATTTTTCTCTTCCTTACGATTTTTCTTTTATGAGACAGGTTCTTGCTCTCAAATTTCTGGTCTCAAGTGATCCTCCCACCTCCATGTAGATAGGATTATAGGTGTGCACCACCACCCAGCTCATTTAAAAATTTTTAGTAGAGATAAGGCCTTGCTATTTGCCCAGGCTGGTCTCAAAGTCCTGACTTCAAGCAATCCTCCTGCCCAGGGTTCCCAAAGTGATGGGACTACGGCATTAACCCCTGTGCCCTGCCTTTACAATTTTCTTAATAACATTTTCTTTTCTCTAGCTTATTTTATTGTAAGAATACAATGTTTATAATACTTATGACATTAAAAATATGTATTAATTAACTGTAAATGTTATCAGTAAGACTTCCAGTTAACAGTTGGCTATTAATTATTTGCGAAGTCAAAAGTTGATATACATGAATTTTTGACTGTGCAGGGCCCTGCATTTTTCAAGAGTCAACTGCACTGTGTTACTAAGTTTTTTGTTTGTTGGTTGATTATTGTATGAATTCATGCTAGGAAGAATAATGACCTCCAAAGATGTCCATGCCCTAATCCTTAGAATCTGTGAATGTTACCTTACACGGCAAAATGGACTTCATAGATGTGATTACAATTAGAGACTGAAATATGGAGGTTATCTTGGATTACCCAGTTGTGCCCATTCTAATCGCGAGTTGATTAAAAGGGGACCACCTTTTTAGCCTGTTGTGAACCAGAAAGATGAAATGCGAGAAGTATACTGAAGACAGAGGAAGAGGGCCACAAGATACAGAATTCAGGCTGCTTATAGAGGCTAAAAAAGGCAAGGAAACAGATTCTCACCTACAGCCTCCACAAAGGTATGCAGCCTTGCATACACCTTAATTTTAGCTCAGTTAGGCCCATGTCAGACTTCTGATCTACAGAGTTGTAAGATAATAAATTTGTATTGTTTGAGCCACCAAATATGGTAATTTGCTGTGGCATTAATAGAAAACTAATACAGTATCTAAAGAAAAAGAGATCGGGGTTCATTGGAATAAATTATTGTGACTACAGAACAAAGAGCATTATATAACATTTTTGATACTTCAGTTGAAATAAGACTAAAGAAGCAGAGCCAGATAAAACAACAACATGAATTGTGCAACACTATCTTAAGAGGTCCCAAGAGCTACTCTCACTTGTTTATCTGTCACAAAATAATTAGAATCTGCCAATATGCTACTCTGCTTTTTCCTCTGTTCTCATGTTTCATCCTGTCTTTCTAACATTTAAAGGAGATTACTAGCCCCTATAGAATTCTAAAGTAAGGGAGAGAGAGATTAAATAATCAATGTATTGCAAGTAAAACCTTAGAAATTGATAGAACTTTTAGGTAACAACCCACTGAGTTTCCACGAAAGTTTAGAGCTCTTGAAAATTTTATGGAGTGTAGGGGCTATCATGAGGTATTGAGAGAGATGCTAAGACACCATCATTCATTTCAATCAGAAATGTTCTGCTTTAACGTTAAGCTTTCACATAAAACTTGATTGAAGAAAACCCCACAAACTTATACTGCTAAAAAAAAAAAAAAAAAAAAAAACCATACAGCCAGATGAAAACCATTTTTAACCAGATGAAAAAAAAAAAATCCAAAGAAGGAAGATCTAGGCAAAACTACTCAAAGTCTGAAGATGAGCAAACCTCTATGAAACAGAGTACTACTGGTCAGGTATGGTGGCTCCACCTGTAGTCCCAGGACTTGGGGAGGCTGAGGTGGGTGGATCACTTGAGATCAGGAGTTCAAGACCAGCCTGGCCAACATAGTAAAATCCCATTTTTACTAAAAATAGAAAAATTAGCCAGGTGTGGTGGTGTGCACCTGAGGTCCCAGCTACTCAGGAGGCTGAGGTTAGAAGACTGCTTGAAACCAGGAAGCAGAGGTTGCAGTGAGCTGAGATTGTACCACTGTACCCCAGCCTGGGCAACAGAGTGAGACCTTGTCAAAATAAAAAGAAAAAAGAAAGGAAACAATATTACTAAAAAAAAAAAATTACATTTCTTTTTCTTTCCTCATCTGAACTGAGCTTCATAATTCAGATAAATGAAGATTAAAGGAAAAAGAGAAAAAGAAGGCTCAAGTTTGTTAAAGACTAAATTGCTAGTTTTATAAGAAATGCATAAAGACAAAGAGTCTTCTTGAAAAATAGATTATTATTGAAAAATTAGCTAATCCCAAGACTCTTTTACATTCCTTTTGTAATCTCTATGACTGAAGATATTCTTTTTTTTTGAGATGGGGTCTCACAGTGTTGCCCAGGCTCACTGCAACTTCTGCCTCCCAGGCTCAAGCGATCTTTCTGAGTAGCTGGGACCACAGGTGTGTGCCTGTTTTTTTTGTAGAGACAGGGTTTTACCATGGTTCTCAGGCTGATCTTGAACTCCTGAGCTCAAGTGATTCACCTACCTTGGCCTCCCAAAGTGCTGGGACTATAGGCATGAGCCACTGTACCTGGGCGCCATTCTTTATCTGTAAAATGACACTAACTTTTCCGTAGAAAACATATTTTTAAATTGTTCTCAAGTAGTATATAACATAATGAGTTACAAACGAAGTTTTTCTTGTGACCAAAAATACAGATTTAAATTACCTATCTGGGGCAAGGGTATCATTTGTGATTATAAATGTTAATTTCTATACAAGGATAATTGATGTTTAATGGAATCAAACATGCCACAATGTTTAGCCTACAGTGCTAACAAAGAAAAATCTTATCAGACAAAAGGCTTGGAAGACATTATACTAGAAGGGTACTTTTCAAAAGAAAAAAAAAATTCATGTTTTGCCAATAGTTTTCTGTTCCATTTCTTTTTCTTTCCTCATCTGAACTAAGCTTCATAATTCAGATAATTGAAGACTAAAGCAAAAAGAGAAAAAGGCGGCCCAAATTTGTTAAAGACTAAATTGCTAATTTTATAAGAAATGCATTTTTGTTATTTTTACATTATTTGAGCAAAAACTTGGCTAATAAGCATTTAATGATAATGGCTTACAGGTACTAACATTCCCTTTACCTTCTTTTTACACTGTTCATTTTCTCAGAAACTTAAAACAGAAGTACTATGTGTCAACTCTTTTTTTTTTCCAGGAGCAGCACCTGAAATGTGTCAACTCTTATGTATCAATCTAATAACAAAGTCATATTTTAGTCTTTAAAAGAACTGATTCAAAAAGAACAAAGATCAAATAAAATTTATTTACCTCAACCAGTATTCCAACAAAAGGGATAGAAGATTCTTCATATTTCACAAAGAATACATCGGGATTAGTCTTCCACACTCCAAGCCATTTGTCTTTCAACTTTAATTTTTCTGATAGGTATTTGCCCATAACCTCATCAGCATATACTCCCTAACAAGAGAAAAAAACATATATCTATGTACAAATATATGAAATTATAGATTTTTAACTTTTTTTTTTTACTGATTCCTATTTTAAAATAACAATGTAGCCTTAAATAATGAATGACCGGGAAAATTACAAATTTTAACCGAAACCACATCTAGTGAAAAACATCATCAACAAAAAATTAAACTTAAAAGATCATTCACTCGAGTAATTCATAGATAAGACAGCTAGTTATTTGTGTCTTAAAGTAATTTTTAACTTTTTATAAATACCACCGCAATGAATATGCATTTATACAAATTCTGCTGCAACTTAAAAAACTAGGTTAGAAACACTAAATATTTGCTCTATTCCGTTTTAACAGGTATGTATTTTCTATTCAAACTATCATGTCGCATCGTGGACTGCTGTATGGGAACTACTCTTTTTTTCTTTTTTTTTTTTGGAGACGGAGTCTGGCTCTGTCGCCCAGGCTGGGTGCAGTGGTGCAATCTTGGCTCACTGCAATCTCTGCTCCAAGGTTCAATAGATTCTCCTGCCTTAGCCTCCCGAGTAGCTGGGATGACAGGCGCCCGCCACCACATCCAGCTAATTTTTGTATTTTTAATGGAGGCAGGGTTTTGCCATGTTGGCCAGGCTGGTCTCGAACTCCTGACCTCAGGTGATCCACCCACCTCGGCCTCCCAAAGTGCCTGGATTACAGGCATAAGCCACCGCACCCCACTTGGAAGTATTCTTAAAAGTAATTTCTTTCTTTTTATTTTGGAGATAGAGTTTCGCTCCGTTGCCAGGCGCCAGGCAGGAGTGCAGTGGCACAACCTCGGCTCACCGCAACCTCCGCCTCCCAGGTTCAGGCAATTCTCCTGCCTCAGCCTCCTGAGTAGCTGGGACTACAGGCACGCGCCACCACGCCCAGCTAATTTTCTGTATTTTTAGTAGAGACGGGGTTTCACCATGTTGACCAGGATGGTCTCGATCTCTTGACCTTGTGATCCGCCCGCCTCGGCCTCCCAAAGTGCTGGGATTACAGGCATGAGCCACCGCGCCCGGCCTTAAAAGTAATTTCTAGTATTGTCGTGTAAAAGTCAAGGCTGAGTGATCTTACTCCTGTTTGGACATCAATTGTTAAATAAAGGTACTAAGATTCAGGCCTGTGCGGTGATAAGGTCAACACAGCTTCATTTTTTAGGAGCTCTTGGAAAACACTCTCAGGCTGTCCCGTTAACCGACGAATGTTGTCGGAAACTCGAACCTTAAATCCTCTAGGGCACCTCGAACAAGGTGAATGCTCTATACACGTTGACTCCATTTAATTTTTTGAAACGCAGGTTCTCGTTGTGCCCGTCGGACCCCGTCCCCCTAAGAGGGTAGCCCCAGAGGCCTGTCCCGAGGCCCCGGCGAGCTTCCGAGCGCCCCGGATCTATTCACCTCACAGTCCTGCAGCACTTGGTCGCAATACAGCGCCACCTTCTCTTTCCGCCACATCCCCCGCATACGGGACACGCAGATTGGGGGCAGGGGCTGCGCCTCGTCTTCCTCCTCAGGCACTGACAGCAGGGCCTCCTTCTCCTCCTTCTCCTCCTCGGCCGCCTCCTCCTCCGCCTGAGCCGCGGGCAGGCGCTGGAGCCGCCACCTGGCCTCCTCCCGGCCCGCTTTTCCCTTCACCTGGCGAAGGGAGGCCACCACAGACCGCACCGTGATGGCGGTGCTCTTCAGTGTGGTCTCGGCCGCCGTGTCCGCGGGGACGGCGGAAGCAGCCTTCTCGCCTCGCCTTCCAGGGCTGATGGTGCGAACTGAGTCCACCGGCACCGAGGCACTGGAGCGGGACGCCATGTCCTCAGCAGCCGGAGCGCCGGCGCAGCCGTTGGCCAGTTTTCCCGCTCTCGGCCGCACTGGCCAATAGGCGCGCTGCGCTTCAGGTCCAACGAGCGGCGGCTCGAGGGACTTCCGCCTGGCGGGGTGCTGCGGCTCGGGTAGGGATGTGGGGCGCGGCGCGGGGCTGGGGGGCGGGGCCTGAGGCTGGAGCGCGGGGTCCTGTGGAGACTGTCGGGGTGCTGATGGGCGCGACTCAGGGTGAGGTGGGACGGGGCGGGGCGCCTGGGCTCAGGACAGGGTTGGGGGGCCGGGGGCAGTGTGGGGTGCTGCTCCGTGCGGAACCACCAGGTGCCGCCCCACCAGAAGGTGGCAGTGGAGCCCCAACGCACAGGCTCTAAGCCCAGCCCTCTCACTCCCCCAGGGGAGGTTTCCTTAGGGTCCTCATATGTTTCATGGTGATTACGAGTCACCCTCTATTTTAGGTCCATCAGGACCTAAAAATGCTCCACCTATCACTCCACGCACTTATAAATGCACAAACAAAGCCTGAAAGAAAATTTATTTTCGTACTGGGAGGTGACACTAACTGGAACCCTCTGGTTATTACTAGAGGAAATTCCCTAGTGACAAATCCAGCAACCTAGATTTCCGCTCAGCCCCCGCCTATGACAGGGTTCCCCAAATAGGATTTCTTTTACATTCTAAACAGGGGTCTCGCTTTTTGCCAAGATGTGGTAATACCAAGGACATCTTGTCTGTTTTCTTGTTCTGTTGTGCTATTCAAAATTCTCACATAAAACATTATGTTATGTAACTGTGAAACGGGACAACAACTTCCAGCTGGGAGTGATGCATGCAAACTATGAACATTTTCACAGTAGAAGTCGGTTCAAGATCATACATTTTGGAGAACAACAGAGACCACTCACTTCTGGTATTTTACCGTTTAATGTATGTATATTGAGCCAACTGGAATTAACGTTTGTTTACAGCCTATCTGTGAAATATTGCACTGAAGCTGACAGTTCCCAAGGAGAAGAACAGCATTGGGAAAACACCTGCCTTCTTTCACACTCATCTGGAAGAACACTATGTTAAATTTTGAGTTTATTTTGAGAAAAACATTAGTATTAATATCATGTTATTGTAGTTCAGGGAATAATTACAGCATGCATCTTTATTCCATTCATCGTCCTGGACTTTATTGAAAACAATACCTAACTCTGAATATTTGACTCACCAAAAAAAAAAAAAAAAGTTTTACTCTAGTGTTTTTCTTTTTCCTTATCTTTTTTTTGAGATGGAGTTTCGCTCTTGTTACCCAGGCTGGAGTGCAATGGCGCGATCTTGGCTCACCGCAACCTCCGCCTCCTGGGTTCAGGCAATTCTCCTGCCTCAGCCTCCTGAGTAGCTGGGATTACAGGCACGCGCCACCATGCCCAGCTAATTTTTTGTATTTTTAGTAGAGACAGGGTTTCACCATGTTGACCAGGATGGTCTCAATCTCTTGACCTTGTGATCCGCCCGCCTCGGCCTCCCAATACTCTAGTGTTTTTTTCCAAAAAAGTTTGTTTTTGATAAATTATGGGTTTTTTAATTCTTAGGTTGAATAATGAAGACCACCTGTCCTGGTCCAAAGTTTAAAAACAGCATAGCTTCCTTTTCCTCTAAAAAGCAAATGTTTGTTAGAAATCTGCTACATGCCTTGCAATGCATAGATGCCAAAGTTATAGAGGTAAAAGGCCAAATCCCTGCCCTCATAATCCTGGGGGCTCTCACTTTTCCAAGAGAAAGATACAGATAGGTCAGTAGATGATTGTCTTTGGTAAGACCATGGTTTTGTTTGTTTGTTTTTTGATGGAGTCTTGCTCTGTTCCAGGCTGGAGTGCAGTGGCTGCGATTTCTTTTCACTGCAACCTCAGCCTCCCTGGTCAAGAGATTCCCCTGCCTCAGCCTACTGAGTAGCTGGGACTACAGGTGCATGCCACCACACCCAGCTAATTTTTTTTTTTTTTTTTTTTTTCAGTAGAGACGGGGTTTCACCATGTTGGCCAGGATGGTCTCGATCTCCTGACCTTGTGATCCACCTCCCAAAGTGATCAGATTACAGGTGTGACACACCGTGCCCGGCAGACCATGCGTTTTATTTATATATGCATAAACAAATACAAATTATGTGTGTATACATACATTACACATTGTAGGAGAAAAGGATCTTACTTCTCTGAAGAGGTGCTACTTAAGCTGAGTTTTTAAAATAACTTTTTTTTTTTTTGCATCCAAAAGAAATTTAGCTTGTTTCTCCCACCTCTTGCCTCCTCCAGGATGCTTTGACAAATGGAATGCCATGTCCCTTTTTCCTGAAATGACTCCCTCCTGCCTGGGTCCAACACAGAGCTCCCACTGTCCAGGCTCAAGATCGGCTTTCAGTTCCACCCATGGCCACTGCATCTCTTGGTCATTCTTCAAGGGGTCTTCGTATTTTCATCCTTCTCCTGCATTCCGAAGTGGAAGCTCTGTTGGCTGTCTCTCTTGTCCTCTTCCTGATGAGCCAGTCTTGAACCAGGAGTCACCAAGATCAGGAAAGCTAGGCCCATCTGAAGGAGATTCTGGGAAGTGTGGTCCCAGAGGGCACAGTGTTTCTGGAGTCCTGCCTCTGTGGTCAAAAGGTAAGTGTCTCAAGAGTCGGAAGAGGGGGGGTCTGCAGGTGCAAAGCTGGTGTTCTTAATGTTGCCTGTGACCAGGAGCTTCACTGGTTCACTGGGCAAAGACCATGCATGGTTGTTTTAGGAGCCAAAACATTGATATGTCCCTCTGCGGGCTGTGATCACAGGGTCCATGGGGATCTCTGCCTGGACCTTCCTATATCTGTGCTATATGCAGCAGGATCTTCTCTCCTGTTACCACCACGATGGTTATTTCTATTTTCCCAGCTTCATTAGTAGACTCCTTTGTACTGAAGCCTGTTCTACCTACCCATTTTGTTGTGATGCATAACTTACTTGCTGAGCAAAAGTGTAAGGCATTTAAATTCACATCTTTAACTGCTTAAACCCTTACCTTCTTGGCATTATTCCAAATCCTCATATAAGAAGCCTGTACATGTATCTGCTGAATCTTTTTTTTTATTATTATTATTTCTTATTTTTAGAGGGAAAAAGAGAAAAAGAAGGGGAAAAAAAGAAAAAGAGGGAAAATGGAATATTACTTCATTCCTAAAATGGGTTTCAATAATGGCCGATCAATATTTTGAGTGTTTAAAGTGGTTAATGCATATTTTATGTGTTTAAAATGGAGACCTCTATTGTGTTTATTTGTTCTGGCTCTGAGTTCAAGTCCTGGATATCGTTATCAATTTTTTGTCTCGTTGAATCTAAATCTCATTATGTGTCTTATGTATCTGGGTATTAAGATCTCTTATTGTTACATTAATCCTTTTACCCTTGCATCCTTGTAGCTTTGAAATCTATTTTATTAAGTGTGAGAATTGCAACTCCTGCTTTTTATTTATTTATTTTTGCTCTCCATTTTGTTGGTGAGTTTTTTTCCATCCCCTTGTTTTGAGTCTTTGTATATCTTTAGATATATCATTAGATTTTGTGAATAATGTATATTTTGTGTGTTTAAAATGGAGAGCTCTATTGAGTTTATTTATTCTGGATCTTAGTTCAAGTCCCGGGTATCGTTATCGGTTTTCTGTCTCGTTGAATCTAAATCTCATTATGGGTCTTATGTATCTGGGTGTTAAGATCTCTTATTATTACATTAATCCTTTACCCTTGTATATGTATCTGGGTGTTAAGATCTCTTATTATTACATTAATCCTTTACCCTTGTATCCTTGTAGCTTTGAAATCTATTTTGTCAAATATGAAAATTGCAACTCCTGCTTTTTATTTATTTATTTTTGCTCTCCATTTGGTTGGTACGTTTTTTTTTCCCAACCCTTTATTTTGAGTCTATGTATGTCTTTGGATATACCGTTAGATTTTGTCTGTATCTTTTGATTGGGAGATTTGGTCGATTTAAATTTAGGGTTGCTGCCATTTGATATTAACTGGCTATTTTGTCCTTTCGTTGATGAAAATTCTTCTTTATGTTAATACTCTTTACTTTTTGGTGTATTTTTAGAAAGGGTCATACTGGTTGTTCCTTTCTGTGTATAAGGCTTCTTTTAGAAGTTCTTGTAAAGCAGGCCTGGTGGTAATAAAATCTCTGAGTACTTGCTTGTTCCTAAAAGATTTTATTTTTCCTTCAAATGTAAAGCTTAAATTGGCAGGATATGAAATTCTGGGCTGAAAGTTCTGTTGATTAAGTATATTGAATATTGGCCCCCACTCTCTTCTAGCTTGTAGTGTTTCCGTTGAGAGATCTGCTGTAAGCCTAATAGGCTTACCTTTATGGGTAACTTGATCTTTCTCTCTGGCTGCCCTTAATATTTTCTCCTTCATTTCGATCTTGGTGAATCTAACGATTATGTGCCTTGGGGTTGGTCTTCTTGAGGAATATCTTTGTGGTGTTCTCTGTATTGCCTGGGGTTGAATAGTGTCCTGCTTTGCTAAATTAGGAAAATTTTCCTGGATAATGTCCTGGAGAGTATTTTCCAGCTTGAATTCATTCTCTCCGTCACATTCAGGTACACCAATCAAGCGTATATTAGGTCTTTTCACATAGTCCCATATTGCTTGGAGACTTTGCTCATTCCTTTTTATCCTTTTTTCTCTATTCTTGTCTTGTCGTTTTGTTTCATTAAGCTGGTCTTCGACCTCTGATACCCTTTCTTCTGCTTGATCCATTCGGCTGTTTAAGCTTGTACATATTTCACTAAGTTCTCGTGTTGTATTTTTCAACTCCATAAGTTCATTTGTATTCCTCTCTATATTGTCTATTCTTTTCAACATTTCATCGAACCTTTTTCCAAGTTCTTAGTTTCTTTACATTGGGTTGGAACAAGTTCCTTTAACTCCCAGAAGTTTCTTATCATCCACCTTTTAAAGCCAACTTCAGATAATGGAACACAGTCCTTTTCCATCAGGACTTGTTCTGTTGCTGATGAGTCCTTTTCCATCAGGGCTTGTTCCGTTGCTGATGGGTTCTGATTTTGAGTATACTCGGCCTTCTTAGGTTGTTTTTTTCCCTTCATTGTAGATGAACCGCCTTTCTAATTAGGTTTCTGAGTCGACGTTATTGATTCCCAGTGCTGGGATCCGAGCAACCCACTGTGGCGGCCTAAATAGCAGCGATAAGACTGATGGTGCTCTTCTGCCCGG